GAGAGAGAGAGAGAGAGAGAGAGAGAGATTTGTCTAGCTGAGACACCTGATTTCATAGTAATGGCTTTCATCTAAAAGAAAACACATGAGAACCTTACAAAGACAGTTTATAATCTTTTCAAGGCAGGAAGCTTTGCATTTGCAAACTTAATGTTTTGTTTTCATTCTAATTTGAATAAATTCAAACCTGCCTCCATGCCTTGGGAGCAAAGATGTAATCTTGATTCCCCAGGCTGTCATCTTTACTTAAATTATTTCAGTTCTGTGAGGTCTTAGTTATCTTATTTTTGTTAAATATAATATGAGCACTTTTTTGTATTCTAAAAGAGAGGCTATTACCAAATGAATATATTATTCATTTGATTGAAATTATTTAGATAAGAAATTATTACTGTTCTCTTTCAAACAGCATATCCTATTTTTCATCTACTTTGCAAATACCAGTTTTGTGTGATTTCTTAACATATCAAAATCTTACTATGTAAAAGAAACTTTCCGGATTTTTGAGCAGTAAGTGGTTTGATTTTTATATACATTGTGTTATTTCAGTATAAATAAAGGTGAGAGAGAATAAATGCATCCACTATTGTTAAATGCATCTTTTATTGCTAACTGTTAAATGCATCTATTATTGCTAACTTAAAATGGAAACAGTTTGGAAATGTTTGAATTACAGGTTATTCAAATGCGTATTGTTTTTCTGAAGAAAACCAGTGACTAAGACAAAAGTTTGATTGCATGTGCTATTTTTTTGCTCCTGTGTATGCTTTTTGAACAGTCCATTTGATAAAGCTTGAATGGAAAAAATAAAGCAGTTTCTGTCTGCAGTGACTTTCCTGGTCATTACTCTAAAAACGTTTTCATCTTTTAAATTCGTGCATATATTTCACCTGTAGTGAGCAGCAGACAGATAAATTGTTGGCTATATGAATTATAAAATTTAATTTGCAGTAATTGGAGCTCTAGACCAATTGGATTCTGAAGTCAAAGTGTGATTTACTTTCTCCAGATAAACTTCACTTTAAGCAAATTGTCTGGATTTTCAAAAGATAAATTAGGGAATAGAATGTTCTACTAAGAGAGATTTACCCAGGTAAAATACAATTTTCTAGTTTAATTTACAGAGGCCCTCTGTGTGCCCAGTGCAGACAGGAGATCCTTACTCAGAAGGCCTCCTGAACTGCTCTCACCAGGGTTCGTGTGTTGGCCCTCTCTGCGCCTGACCAGCGCCCATTGAGGTACTGGAGCAGGTGCTCCACAAGCTACTGACACTGTGGTTCGGGTTTGGGCTTTGCTTGCGCTCCAACCTCCTGGAGGTCACAGACATGGGCAGTTTGTGATCTCTGTTGGTGCGGCCTGCATCTAGCTCCTGTGTGCATCCTGAACTGCTTGGAGACACAGAATCAGGTGGTCCACAAAGTGTTGACACTGCAATTTGTGTCTGGGTTTGCCTGTACTCTGAACTGCCTGGGGACACAGATCCACTGCTCTGGAGTCCTGATTCTGGGTCATACGCATGCAATGAACTGCAAGGGGACACTGGGTCAGACAGACTCACATCAGCTGACATCATGGTCTGCATCTGAGACTTGGGAGAACTGGATACACTTCACCATCTGCCAGAAAACCCCAGACTAAGCAGTGCATCTCAGCGGATATTGAGGGGCAAACCTGACCACCAGGAAAACTAGGGACACTAGTGGCCTTTGCTGAGAAATATAGAAACTAGGGACACTAGTTTCTTCCCTTTGCCAGGGAAGAGGGAGACTGAGCTTTCTGCATCCATTATCAAACATGACAAGGCAAAGGACTAAAACAATCTCAGAACTCCACCCCACTCAGAACAAGTCCAGGAGTCACTGACATAGGAGAACTTGGTAAACACGTACCTGAAATTGCTGAAATGATTGCAATGGAAGTAAAGAAACAACTTCATCAGGCCATAGAAGAGATCAGATCAGAAATAATCTCTCAGGCAAAAAATGAAATAACAATAATAATGAAAGAACTGCTCAGCACATCTGAAGAAAAAACATATAAGAAAATAGAAGAACTTAGGCAATGGACAGAAACGTTAAATGAGAAATATAGAAATGACTTAGAACGCATGAACCAGATTAAAACAGAATCCAGGAAATCAAAGCTTCCATTCAAAGCTGCCAACGCTGCTTGAATGAAGTGGAAGATAGAATTTCAGATTTTGAAGACAGCATGGCAGCTAGCGACTGTGAAAGAAAGAATCTGTTATAATCAAAAAGGAACCAAGAAAAATCAATTCAACAGCTGCAAGATGAGGCAAAGAGGAATAATGTACGACTAATAGGAGTCAATGAAACAGCAGGAGGCCAGACAAACTACATAAAAAGAATATTTGCAGAAATAATAGCAGAAAATTTCCCAAGTGTGGAAACAGAACCTCATATAAAAGTAAATGGGGCATATAGAACTCCAACTAACCATAACCAAAATAAAACTACACCCAGACATATAATAGTCAAGCTCCCAGATCTTCAGCAAAAGAACAGAATATTAAAAACTGCTAGAGAAAAGAAACATTACCTATAAAGGAAAGCCCATCAGAATCAGGGCAGACTTCTCAACACAAACCATCCAATCGAGAGGAGCTTGGGGTGAAGTATTACAGGTCCTGAGACAAAACAGCTACCAACCAGAACTGATGTACCCTGCCAATTTCTCCTTCATATTCAATGGAGAAATAAAATATTTCCATGACAAAGAACAACTGAAGAACTTCATGAGTGCCAAACCATCATTGCAGAGAGTACTAAAAGATATTCTAGACAGAGAAA